GAATTTGTTCGAGGAGTTAAATCTCCACTAAAACAGGTCTCCTGTGTGTTCTGTCTGTCTCTCTATGCTCTTCTGCTAGGTGCACTTACTTAATTACCATGGCAACCGCTGTCACACACAAACTCACAGAAACATGATGTCTGTGCGTGTCTACATCTTACATGCAGACATGACAGGGGCAGCATCTCCATTTTAACCCTTTAGGTGCCAGAGTTTATTGAGGAAAATATTCCATTTTCATTTCAACATTTCAAAAGGCTGTGGCTTGAAAGTGGTGAGAGATAAAGGCATACTGTAAATGAGAAAAATATTCATCATGACCCAAAGTTTGTCACTGGAGTAAATTCACTCATCTAATTTGCATATTGTGGTGTCATTAGGCGGTGACCATATTGAATTTCATAAAGCTCAGTAAAACAACATTTTGAACATATTTACACAGTAGATTTCTTTTGTTTTGTGCTGTTTTTGTCATCTCATCCTCAAAATAAAGGAAGAGGAATCTGATGGGAAGAAATTCGCTCATCTAATTTGCATATTGTGACGTCACTTCTCCATACCTACAGCTACAGAAAGCATTCAAACATCAAAACGTTCAGCTCTGTAAGGATTTTCTGATGTTTGTGGCAATATGTTTGATATTTCTAAATAATTCACAGTGACAACATAAGCTGGGGGCCGAAACGGGCGCGAGTGCGAGGTCCCGCCAAACGCTGCTTGCAGCTTTAATTTTGACTTGTTTTTGTTGTCTCTTCCATAAACCGCTGACAGTCTGACCCAAACAGCTTGTCTGTGGAGTGATACAGTGCAAAGCAGCAGTGGGGCAGTAATATGAAAGTTTTACAGTTAAGAAAATGTAGTGCCAAAGAAAAGGGCTCTCTGACGGCGAGGCAACTGTGAAAAAAATCCTCAATATAGTGTCCTCTTTGACTGATACCAGTGATGGGAATAATGGCGTTATAAATAAACGGCATGACTAACGGCGCTACTTTTTTCACTAACAAGTAAAAAAAAAGTTACTGTCTCCCCCGTTATAATGCCATTACCGTTGCTCACAATAAAATGCGCCATTACTCAGCTTTACTTGAGTTTACTGAAGCGGCTTTCACCCAAGCAAGCTCCTTCTCAGCGGAGCTCTGAAGTTTGTTTTCTGTGGTGAAGGCAGGTGAGGGGGAAGGGAGGGAGAGACAACCGCAGAAGTGATGATGATTGGCTTAGGTAGAGTAAAATTTCATCGTAAACCAATCAGAGGCAGAGTAGGGCGGGTATTCACAAGCACACAAGCAGGGTTGCTGTGTGGGCTTGTTTTTTTGTAAAGTCGCTTAGAAATATTGGTAGTCGCGGGTTGCTGCTTTTTGAGGTTGTTTCTAAAGTGGAGTTGCTTATTTGGGCTTGCTCTCTAAACATCACCTTTCTCCATATATATCTGTCTAATATTTAAATGCATAATAGTACGTCCGCCCCTCTTCTTCTCCGCATACACACAGGTGACAGTCAGTCAGTGAGACTTCTCACATTTAAATTGCGTGTTTAATGGAGGTTCTTACACACACACACACACACACACACACACACCAATGCAGTGTAGTGTACAATGTTTTATAATAATGATTTATTCTATTAAGTGTCAGTTTCATTCATTTAACATTCAATGTTGAGTTTCATTACATACAGTTCGATTAAGGGGGGTTGTCCTAGCAATTTGACATATTTGAGCATTTTATAAAAAAGTAACACTATAGTTACTTTTCCTGGTAATTAGTTACTTTTATAGTGCAACTCAGTTACTAACTCAGTTACTTTTTGGGGAAAGTAACAAGCAACTATAACTAATTACTTTTTTAAAGTAACGTTCCCAACACTGGCTGTTTAAGGAAGTGAGAACAGGGCTATACTAATTTGTATGCTTGTAGAAATCCTTCTTTATTTGACACTCAATTTTTAACTGAAAGCAATAACTTGAAAGATGAGCTTGAGTGTGGGATAAGTAACACTGCATATTGTCCAAACCATATGCTGAATAGTGATATATCTTTAGAGGAGGTGCAGAGGGTAGTAGATAAAGCTAAATTAAATAAAGCTGTGGGTATAGAGGAACTTCCAAATTAGGTCCTCAAAAACTCAAATATGCTGAATATTTTACACTGTTTATTTCAAAACTGTTTTCAGTATGGTATTTCTCCATCAATGTGGAATAAATCCATGATCAAACCCATTCTTAAATCTGTAACCTCAGATCCCAGAGTTCTGTTAAACTACAGAGGTATAAGTCTGATCAGCACAGTATACAAATTGTATTCAGGTGTCCTTAATAATAGACTTAATAATTATGTGGAGTCCTTTGGAGTGTTGGTGGATGAACAGAATGGATTTAGGAAAAATAGGGCTTGTATCAATCATATTTATACCATCACCTCTGTAGTGAGAGCCAGACTCACAGAAGGTAAAAACACATTTGCTTGTTTTGTTGATTTTCAGAAAGCATTTGATTGGGTCAATAGAGATCTCCTGGAGTATAAATTATTGTGTTCTGGCACTGATGGTAAATTTTACAATGCTATCCAAGCTCTGTATAAAGCCCCAGTTGCTTGTTTACAGTTAAATAATCTCAGGACTGGCTGGTTTCCTACACCATTTGGAGTGAAGCAGGGAGATGTGCTCTCCCCTACTTTATTTGCCCTCTATGTAAATAATTTAGCTCTAGAAATCAAGCAGGCCAATCTGGGCATACCAATTGATGATTTGAATTTAAATATTTTGTTATATGCTGATGATATTGTTTTAGTTGCTGAAAATGAAATTAATTTACAAAAAATGCTGAATATTATGAGTTTATGGTGTGGTAAATATTTCAGTTTGGATTAAGGCCCTTAAAGTATGTTACTTCATATAAATATCTTGGTTTTGTTTTTAAGACCTTCTCCGAAGGAAGAAAATCATTGGCAGAGTCAGCAGGGAGAGCTTTAGGGTCTGTAATGAGTAAAATGAAAGTGTGCCCCAACCTTGGTTTTTTGACATTTTCAAAACTTTATGACTCAATGTTTGGCTCAATTTTATTTTATGCAGCAGGCATGTGGGGTTTTAAAGATAGCCCTGAAAGTAATGCTATTCAGTCTTGAGCCATGAGGTGCTTTCTCTGGGTTCACAGATATACTGCTAAAGGGGCTATTGAAGGGGACATGGGATGGGTGCGGTGTCTTGTGAAACAGAGATGTGAAATAATTCGGTTGTGAAACCGCCTTGTTCAATTGCCAGAGGATAGGCTGACCAAAAAGATTTTTAACTGGGACAAAACTCATAATTATCCTTGGGCAAAAGAGGTTTCTGTATTATTTTCGTTTTCTGATTTAAATTATACATTTAGGAACAATTTGCAGTGTAATATAAACATAGTGAAAGCAAAAATAGTTAAGATTCACAATGAACAATGGAAAGATGAGATCTGGTCCAAACCAAAACTCAGAAACTATGTTCAAATCAAAGTGGGGTTCCACACAGAACATTATGTAACTTTAAATTTGAAGAGGGGACAGAGGTCCTTTTGTGCCCAGTTAAGAACTGGTACCCTTCCTCTGGCTCTTGAAGTGGGCAGATATAAAGGTATCCAGGAGGAGCAACGTATATGTGTTCTTTGTGATCTTGATGTTGTTGAAGATGAATATCACTTTCTGTTTCATTGCCCTTTATACTGTGATTTAAGGAACCACCTCTTTGAAAAAATTCAGTGGAAAAATCCTGACTTATTTTGGTTGTCCGAAGGTGAGATGTTGCGTTGGCTTTTTGATGAGGAGACCTTTCCCGTGGCAAGATTTATAGAAAATGCTTGGCACTTAAGACAGAGAACGTTGTACCCAACATATTAAGATGTTTCTGTTATGGAATTTGGCTATTCTGAAATGTTTGCTTTTCCTTTTGTGGACTTTTTGTTATTGATCTGTCATGTGGCCATCCAGGCTGTTGTTCTGTTTAGTGTCTTGTAAGCCCATATGGGCTGGGCACCACTTGGTGCACGACACTTAAATAAATAAAAGAAATCAATCAATACTGATTTCTTTAGGTGGGCCTCTTTAAGGTGGCTTAAATATGTTTTGATATCAACCCCCATCCACAGCAATGTAATGCTGAGCTTCCCTGTTGGGACTCCTGCCTGCTATTCCAAACTGGGGGCATGCCAACCGTCATCTTCTGAAGGTAATACACTGACTATATATCAGTACCTCATACAGCCCCATTTCAAAAATCCCAAACTAACCCTTTAAATTAAAAAAATCAATGTTGTTAATACGTATACCCTCATAGAATTCTAAGGGGTAATGTTTTTGAAATTTGTGAGTCCAAATTATTATCCTAGCCTCAAAATTACAATTTATAAAATTGAACAGAGAATAGTAATTTGTCCCATGAAGCTAGTATTTTGTTGCCCTTGAATGGTAAAGTTGCTGAGGTAAGTAGAGAGCATCTGGGCTTTTTCTCAAATTTATTTTTTTAAGATTGTGCTATCTTTGGCATCCTTTAAAGCAGGGGTCAGCAACCTTAACTGGCAAAAGAGCCATTTTGACATGATTAGCTAATCAGAGCTTCTTATGCCAAAGACCTAAGGACCTCCAACATCATTGCCAGAGGGTCATGACCCATAAGCCTTCAATAGCGTGAATGACGAACACAAAATATTATCCATTATGGCCTGTACAGATAATGACCTCCTCTGTGCACATTGCCGGAGGCATTAAAACAAACCTTTCACTGCCCCAGGCTGCTGGCAAACATCCAGATAGCCTGCTTGTGCCATATGCTTCTGTCTGAAGGTATCCTCCATTAACAGTCAAGCTATTAGCGGATGGAAGGCCATAGCCACTGTACTGTGGATCCTGTCCAAGGTCCATGCTTCAGATCACACTACCAAACTATTGAGAACAGGCCTTTGCTGCATCCAGTTCTTTCCCACAAGTTTTCACTCAGCGTTTCTGTGTTTGCATAATGCAGATAGACAGACTTTGCAATCAGCCCACACAGCTGCAGTTGGCCGCCGAGAGCCACCTAATTGTCTGCCAGGTAGTCTGGGTGTCCATGAAGGACACAGTCTCATAGTGGGTAGGCCGACAGCAGGGGTGACTGCTGACCATCTTGCCGGAGACGCTCCCCTTGTCCATCAGAACTTTGAGTGCCAGGTCGTAGTTCTTGCGGGAGCTGTGGCAGGTCCCAACACAGTACTTAAAGAGGACTATTTCATCTGAGTTGTAACCGAGATCAAGATCTCGCACCCGTATCTCTTTCCTTTCCAAGTGGCAATCGTGGATGCTCTTGGTCTTCTTGCGGCTCCTCCTTGAGGTTCTGGGCAAGCTGGAGACAGGAGGGGAGCGCCGCCATCTGCTCTGCTGGATTTCCTCATCCTGCATCAGTGACCACTCTTCTATGAGAAAAATGACACGCAGATAAGACACCTGGGTAGTCAGTTGCCAACATGGACATGTAAGAAAAGTTCTGTAATATCAAAAACAATATTGCGACCACAGTTTAGCTCCCAAAATGAAGTTTTCACATGAATTCAGGAGCAGTATCATTACTTTATTGATGTGCTGCAGTTTCTGTTGAAACAGCAAGGGAACAATCTTATGTGTAAATCAATGGGTTATCAGTGGACTGATAGGCAGTTTGATTTACTAGAGCAGGCAGGAAGGCAGGACTGTCCAAATATGTTGTGATGACTTTATTTGTTGCCTTTTTGGATTTGGTAGTGCAACATTATGTCACTGCTATAGAGACTTATTTTTCAGGGAGTTCAAATACTTATTTCACAGAAAGGATACAGTTTATACCAAGACTACATGGTGACCTGTGTTTTTAAAGCAGAATTTTGTTTGCCACTTACTGGCAGCAGAGCAAGCCAGTATCATACCATGATAAGTATGATTACTGTAGGAGACTAAGAAGGATTTTAACATTTCTCTGTCAAAATCAGCAGGGAGAGGCTTTAGAAACAGCAGTTTCTGATACCCCACCCCCCACAGATTTTAACAGAATTGTTCAAAAGTTCAGCTCAAGAAGTGCTCTGCAAATGACACCTCCTTATGTGAGTGCTCTGATTAATACATTTATCTGATATATCTGAATGCACAATAATTGCAACCAGTTAAAGAGGTTAATAGATCAAATATCCGATAGCTACTTTTCACAGCTGACCAATAATTATGGTCAGACCCTAATTATAATTCAATTATAAGATAAGATAAGATAAGATAAAATAAACTTTATTGTCCAAAACGGGAAATCTGTTTTGGGCACATAGTGCGACATAGCTGCACAGCAGATACAACCACCATGTACAACCAAGACACACAGAAGACAACCATGTAGTACAGCAAGAATGCCGATTTGAATAACATGACTGAACAATCAAGACTACTGGGCGAAATAAATACATCAACTTTGTCATAACAGGTAAGGCTAAAAAAATATAAGCTCCATAAGGTTGCACTAGCCCAGGAGATAATAATTAAAAGTGCAAAAAAACTGTAGTATAGATAGTGCAAATAAAATACAGTAGTGCAAATGAAACTGTTGAAAATAAAACTGCAAGTAAAAACGTACCAAAGTGTGCAACACGTCAGTAGTCATAATAGCAGCCTTGCTCTGCCGGGGAGACAAAGCAGGGCCAGCAGATGAAGAGAGTGGCATAACCACAAGAACATTACAATTATATTTTTTGTAAGGGGGAGTCAGAGGTGTCAGGGGTGTCAGGCGTGTCTACTCTGAGGTATATTTGTTTCATTTCTCTCATCCCTTATCTGCTTCCAGGGTCAAAGGACTGAGGGATGTTGGAGGCTATGTTGCAAAGTCCTCTGAAACAAACTGTGATTTGTGATATTGGGCTTTATAAACAAAATTAAACTGAACTGTCTGCTTCACAGTTTATTCTGTGAGTCCATGGTTGAACAGTGACAGGAGTTAGGATAGGAGACATCCTCGCTTCCTTATTTGGCCTGGAGCATTCTTTGTAATCCTGCATAATAAGCCATGTGCTTTTGTTTACTTAAAACAACTAAGATTCAGAGTGGACAATGACAGAAATTAAATGAATATGCCTCATAGTAGATTTGTTGATTTAAATTCATGGTCTGACCATCATTTATAACAATATGTTAAGCTATCTCATTATAACATAAAACATTTCACCTTACAACAAAATACATTGTATATTATGTAATAAGAAGAAGTTTTTTTTTCAAGAAAAGTTTCTTGTTATAACATAAGTTTGTATGTCATAATAACATTAAAATATCTTGATGTGAAAAACATATTTTAAAAATGAACATTTCATGTTTCACCCTATGCTGATCTTTTTTCTTTTTCTTTTTTTTTTCATGGTTTGGCAGCGATATGCCTCCGTTGTTCCCACTACGCTGATCCTACTTAAGACTATACGTAAAAGCTGTGCCTCCTTCTGCTGACCAGTGGTGGAGCGTAACAATCATATAAGTAAATAAGTGAAGCAATTAAATGATATTATTATTATATTATATTATATATATATATTATATTATTATATTTGATATTTCACAAATACTTTTCAAATATGAGGAGCTGCTGCATTTCCTTTTGATAATTTTAATTATTTTGATTTATTTAATGTAATTAAATTGTTCTGCATTGAATACTTTTTATACCTAAATTGAAAGCAGACATTGATGCTGAATTAGGGAGTGAAATTCCTCTGGTTATCAGCTTGCTGTACAGCCACTATGCTGGGTCATCACCAGTAGGGCAGTGGAGCTGCTGGCTGAACTCCAACAGGAGCTGAGGTTGCTCTCTCAGTTGCCAGTAACATTCCAAACAAGCCTTACCCACGCCGCTATGCAGATCTGGCCCAGGTGTTGGCCCAGACTGATTTCTACTTCCTGAACTTGGGATGACTTTGCCCTGCACTTTCTCTTAATGCCTCCATAATGTCCTTAGGGAATGGTTATTACCACTGTGGAATGCTCATTTACAGCAGCATGTCAGTTCATGCCTCAATGTTTACCAAAAGAAAACCAAAGGACCTCTCAGTCAAACCCTGCTCAGGTACATATTCAGCCATGTTAAAACATGCCACATGGGTTTGCATTATTTAATGTAATTATTCAACTATTTCATGTTACAATTGAATTGGGCAATGTTCAGGCAATCATGCCTAACTGCACTAAACATTATAATTGTTTTTAGTGAGAGCACAGTTTTCAAAAAAATCTTAGTGTGATGCTTTAGTGTGCCAACCTAATATTTTCCATCACTTTGATAAATAAAGGAGAAACACAGCTTGGGTTTACCTGACAGCATCACAACAATAAGTCAGTATCAGCAGAGATTCTCATGTGCAGTAACGGCTGTAACCACTACAAAAACTGTACAGTTACCATTTTTGTGCCTCTATCATTTAAGTATGGCCTAAGAGAAGGCATGTCCAATAAGATACGAATTGGACATTTGTTTATTTTTTCAAAACATAGTTCAGAAAAACCAAATTCATCGAAAGTTAAAATATCTGCAGCATGACTGACAGACCATCCTTTGCTTTTACAGAATTTAAGGTAAATTTATTTTTACTATTTTTGCCATTTAAATCTGATATTTTTTTCCTTCTTGTGATCAGTGTGACATTGAATGTCACCTCTCTGGTGGGGAAGGAGCTGGAGCTGGTGCGGGAGGTGGAGTGGTCCCAACTAGATTTAGGTGGGCTCAACTCCACGTGCAGCACTGGTTCTGGAACCAAAATCCTGGAGAGGGGCTGGACTCGTGCTTTCTTCGGAGTTGCCCAGGGTGAGAATTGCTGGGTGGGTGTGGGGATACTAACGAGTCCTCGGCTGAGCACCACTGTGTTGGGTTTCTCCCCAGAGAACGTGGGGGTCCCCTCGATGCAACTGCGGGTCACTAAGAGAAGGTCTCTGACTGTTGTTTCTGCACATGCACCGTACAGCAGTATGGAGTACCCGGCCTTCTTGGAGTCTCTTGGCGGTGTCCTGGAAGGGTCTGGCTGGCCCAAGGATCTCCTGAAGCAGCAGAAAGGTACCACTTGGCCAGAAGGGCTTCAGCTGGGGTGGTCGCCGAAACAAAAATCTGGGTGAGGGAGGAGTTCGGGAAGGCTATGGAGAGGGACTTTCTGCTGGCCTCGAGGAAGTTCTGGCAGACTGGAGACATCGTCGAGCAGTGGAAGGAGCACTTTGAGGAATTCCTGAACCCGGCCGTCATGTCCACTGTGGAGGAGGCAGAGCCTGAAGACTCGGGGGAAATCTCGCCCATATCCCTGGTGGCTGAGGTAGTTCCACCAGTTTGGATTAATTCATTGGTTAAAACAACACAAGCAATTGAGCTGAAGGTACAGCTGTCTTTCTTCATGTTTAGAACAAAAAATTAAAAAAATAAAAAAAGATCTGCAAACCTAAATTGGACATTACTTGACTTTGGTTTTGGGTTAAAACAAACAAACAATTAAGCTGCGGGTACAGGAATTGCAGGTAAACACGTTGTGTGAGAACATTGCAGTGACTCATATTAATTCACTAGAGACTAACCTGACCAAAAAAGAGGTTGTAACTCTGGGTGATATTCAACTTTTCCATTTGGTCATGGACTTTACACATTGACAAATGGCGTGCAAGGTACCCTGGGTGTGTTGATTGTTGACGTTCTGGGACACCGTGTCAGCTTCAGCCTGTTACATGCATTGTCTGTTTTTAAAATATACTTCTGATTTCACAGGAAATGTACAATTTGCATACAGTCTCTTTCAAAATAAACACACTTTGTCAGTACAACACAGCGAATTGACATCTTTTCTTCAATAATGAATGCACGTGGTTATGTTTTGTGGTTGGGTTTAGGCAACAAAACTACATAGTTGGATATAGGAAAAAAGAACAGGGTTTGGCTTTACAATCACATCTGCCTCCCTGGTAAAAGTCAGTGGTTGTTGGCTTTTTTTCCCAGCTCAGTCTGAGCACTAGGAACAGACAACAACACTAAGTCCTGAGATCTCAGACTCGAGCTACAGTCAGATCTCTGTTCAATCAAAGTACAAATGTATGAAGGGAATTTACCCAGTATGGCTAATGTGCCATCCATCACCTGTATATGTGCAGAACTGATCAGTCCAGCCAGAAATACCAGAATTTGTTACGGTCACACTAGATTAAGTTTAACTTCTTACCATTCCAGTAAAATTCAACTAAATTCACCTTAAACGCTTATCGAGGTCATACCCAAAGCACATTGAAAGCTGTTCTTGTTCAAATTTTAGTACATGTACAGTACAGGCCAAAAGTTTGGACACACCTTCTCATTCAATGCGTTTTCTTTATTTTCATGACTATTTACATTGTAGATTCTCACTGAAGGCATCAAAACTATGAATGAACACATGTGGAGTTATGTACTTAACAAAAAAAGGTGAAATAACTGAAAACATGTTTTATATTCTAGTTTCTTCAAAATAGCCACCCTTTACTCTGATTACTGCTTTGCACACTCTTGGCATTCTCTCCATGAGCTTCAAGAGGTAGTCACCTGAAATGGTTTCCACTTCACAGGTGTGCCTTATCAGGGTTAATTAGTGGAATTTCTTGCTTTATCAATGGGGTTGGGACCATCAGTTGTGTTGTGCAGAAGTCAGGTTAATACACAGCCGACAGCCCTATTGGACAACTGTTAAAATTCATATTATGGCAAGAACCAATCAGCTAACTAAAGAAAAACGAGTGGCCATCATTACTTTAAGAAATGAAGGTCAGTCAGTCCGGAAAATTGCAAAAACTTTAAATGTGTCCCCAAGTGGAGTCGCAAAAACCATCAAGCGCTACAACGAAACTGGCACACATGAGGACCGACCCAGGAAAGGAAGACCAAGAGTCACCTCTGCTTCTGAGGATAAGTTCATCCGAGTCACCGGCCTCAGAAATCGCAAGTTAACAGCAGCTCAGATCAGAGACCAGATGAATGCCACACAGAGTTCTAGCAGCAGACCCATCTCTAGAACAACTGTTAAGAGGAGACTGTGCCAATCAGGCCTTCATGGTCAAATAGCTGCTAGGAAACCACTGCTAAGGAGAGGCAACAAGCTGAAGAGATTTGTTTGGGCCAAGAAACACAAGGAATGGACATTAGACCAGTGGAAATCTGTGCTTTGGTCTGATGAGTCCAAATTTGAGATCTTTGGTTCCAACCGCCGTGTCTTTGTGAGACGCAGAAAAGGTGAACGGATGGATTCCACATGCCTGGTTCCCACTGTGAAGCATGGAGGAGGAGGTGTGATGGTGTGGGGGTGTTTTGCTGGTGACACTGTTGGGGATTTATTCAAAATTGAAGGCACACTGAACCAGCATGGCTACCACAGCATCCTGCAGCGACATGCCATCCCATCCGGTTTGCGTTTAGTTGGACGATCATTTATTTTTCAACAGGACAATGACCCCAAACACACCTCCAGGCTGTGTAAGGGCTATTTGACCAAGAAGGAGAGTGATGGAGTGCTGCGGCAGATGACCTGGCCTCCACAGTCACCGGACCTGAACCCAATCCAGATGGTTTGGGGTGAGCTGGACCGCAGAGTGAAGGCAAAGGGGCCAACAAGTGCTAAACACCTCTGGGAACTCCTTCAAGACTGTTGGAAAACCATTTCAGGTGACTACCTCTTGAAGCTCATGGAGAGAATGCCAAGAGTGTGCAAAGCAGTAATCAGAGCAAAGGGTGGCTATTTTGAAGAAACTAGAATATAAAACATGTTTTCTGTTATTTCACCTTTTTTTGTTAAGTACATAACTCCACATGTGTTCATTCATAGTTTTGATGCCTTCAGTGAGAATCTACAATGTAAATAGTCATGAAAATAAAGAAAACGCATTGAATGAGAAGGTGTGTCCAAACTTTTGGCCTGTACTGTACGTGCATGGTATCATTTAAAAGGATAACACTCTGAAGTTCTTTCACCAACATTCAGAGTCACTAAGACACTGCAATAGAAGTTTTTTTTTAAAATCCTGATTTCTTGGAAAAAGATGCTGCAGATGACTAGAACTGGGACTTATTAACTGGAAAACACAATGGGGCAATATCATGAAGCCTTAAATAGTCCAAATTCAAAGTAAATATAATACAAAAGAAACATTTTACATGTTTTTCTAAGGTTTTGTCCAGGCACTTTTAAAAGAAAAGAGGATAAAATAATGTACTGAATGTGTGATTATGAGTGAAAAACAAAGCAACCAAGACAGAAATATCTATTTCAGAGGTTACTGTATATAAAAACACTTCTGGAAAACATCACTTGATAAGAAAAACATTTTTTATTACATATAGCAAGAAGAGAAATATAACCATTTCAAATGATACAAAGGCAGTTTGGGGATATCTATGGATGTAATGATTCCTATCTATCTATCTATCTATCTATCTATCTATCTATCTATCTATCTATCTTATGATTGGAGAAATAAAAAGTTTTAACTGTTCATTTGTTTGTTGTTTGTCTGAAAGAAGTATTTATTGAACCTGCTGTGGTGGCTGTATCTTAAAATGATCCACATCAATTAAACTGCAAGGAGCATAGCTTTCTAACGATAGGGCGTATGACTAAATCACTTAAAAACAGCAAATACGACAGCTGTTTACATGTCATAATCATCAAATAAAACGTTACAAGGATGTGAAGTAAAACAGCAACAAAAAATAGATTGTAGACTAATGACATAAGATAATGTAATGCTTACCAAGGGCTTGAGGCCAGGGTGCGTGAACACTGCTGTCCTGTTCCAGATCTTCAGCAGGAGACAAGAAGGGCTGCCTTTGGACACGCTGGAGGTCTGGATGAGCCTCTTTATTGTCCTCAGAAAACACATCTTTTACTAGTGTTAGCAATGACGCCATCACCCACAGCATCACCTGATTACATCAAGGAACACACTTTGGTCATCAGGCTGGCTGCTCAGTTAGGGAAGCCGATAGATTCACTGATTCACTGCACTTCATTGTAAAACATGTTATCAAGCAGAAAGGAGATGCAATCACAATGACAGATGCAGTCAGGGTTAAATGTTTTCACTGGAGCAGCCCAGTGGTGGGAAGGTGGACAGAAGTATGACTGTATATACACTATATATAGTGTACTCCAATAGTGTTTAACAAGCCCTCATTGACTGGTAGAAGAGCAGATCTTATAAGTATTAGCCCGCCAGAGGTACAGAGACACAAATGCAAAGAGCAACTTTTGTTAAGACCTTGATGGAAAATGAAAAATGATCCTCATCCCTGAAGTATTTTGGTCCAGTTTTGTGTCTGCATTTATTTATTAACCCAAAAGAGCTGAGATCAATGTCAAACTGTGCACGACTGGTGACATGAGAAGAGGCCCTCTATGGCTAAGGCAGTAGAGCAGGCTGAAAGATTGGCGGTTTGATTTTCAGCTCCTCCAGTCCACATGTCAACGTTTCCTTGGTCAAGATATTGAACCCCAAATTACTCCCAATGGCTAATTTATTGGCGTGTCAGTGAATGTCAAGGAGGTTAAAAAAAAGAGGAGAAGTCACGTGGTACAGGTACAATACATGCACAGTGAAATCTTGTGTGCACCTACCAAAAGGCTTAATAGGTGGTGCACTATCATAGGTGTTCTTAGTCAGCCTTGAGTCAGAATCAGAATAAGGTCCTTAATAAAGACCATAAACAAATGCTTTCTATATAAAAATGTTCTGTTGTATATTGATTGCCATCCAATTGAGTGTATCAAAAAGGTTCTGTCAGGCCGAGTGCAACCAAGGAGGCTAAGAAGGGTGCACCCAGGGAGTATCTGAACAGATACCATCCCTTTATTTCTAGCACCATCTGCTGTAACCCTCCAACTTCAGCTTCAGTAACACTGCACATGTTTCATACTCCCATGGCGTCAAAGCGTGTGTTCCAGCCTTCTTTGAATAGCTTTGATGCATGTGTATGCTTGTGTAATAGTCTACAAATGTGGGTGAATGTGGCATGTGAAAGAGCTTTGAGTGGTTAGAAGACTACAAAGTCTAACAAATGCAAGTCCATTTACCATGAGGATTAGAGTGGACCTGACCACGGTGGCCTGACCACTCAGTGAAGGGTGCGACACCACGGGGGACGACTGGAGTGAGGCAGCCAAGCTACCCCTCGATTGCATCCTTTCTTGTGTTGACAACCAAATCAGATGTGTTGTGGCAGCTGGCTCAGTAGTAATTAAATAAAACAAATCCTTCTACCAGTAATACTGCTGTATTTACATAAGGCTTCACTCACACAATGTACTCACATCTGTGCTTAGCAGAAATCAGGGATTCATACATTTTATCTTTCCTGACTCTGTTCCTACTGTGTCACCAAATTTAGAACTGCCTTGTAACTAAAGACATTAAAACTAATTAATTATTTTAAAAGGCTTTAATAGACAACATTTAAAGCCATTAATTTACTTATGCATTTGTCAAATGTATTAAATAACAATGAAACTGACACCCTTTCATCGTCATTAATTATTTATCAAAAAATTCAACTATAAAAAGTGGAGCGTCCCAGTTTTTATTTTATAGAAATTGTGCAAATGTTCTTTTGTAGCCAACTTCTTCATTGGTAGCCTATTAATAGGCATGCAGGACATAAAAAGATTCTGATTTACCTCCAGGCAGGTGTTAAAATGTCATATTTAACCTTACTGGAAGATATTACAGTCCGTGTCTTCAGGAGAGAGTGCATCATCACAGACTGACATGTTTGAACATGTTTGAAGAGAGTGACAAACGGCTTATCAGCTGTTTATGACTGCCATTACATTCACAGACACTCACCAACGTTCTATCTCCAGGGGGCCTGGCAGTTACTGATTGCAGATAGTGGGCACACGCCTTTTACACCAAAATTAGCATGTGTACATGGGTTTTTTAAACACAGGTAAACCCACTAAAAATAGGCTATAGACTCCTTTCCCACTGCCAGTAGACCAGAGCTGTGTACATATTGTAGGTCTACTGCAGATGAGCATGCCTTTCTGTGAATGGGTGTTTTTTTGCAGTGTCATGTTCGATGTCACGGACAGGCCAGAAAACAGATTACTAAACAGTAAAAAGCAGCATGGAACCTTTGAAGATGTTACAGTGATTACTTGTTTTTAAAACTGTATATCACTTAGTTATTCAGTCTCTCTTTTAAACTCAGCGCAAACTAATTTGGATTGATGTTTAAGCGCTGCTTGGACAGAGACAGACAGTATTCTGTGGTAGTGCATTACCGCATCTGGCCAGTAAAGGGGCTAAAATGTACACGTTCACCCCGATGTTGTGTTTCCATCACTGCCGATCAGAGCTGGAGCAACACACACACACACACACAAAAAGCAACATGAATGTTTGTGATAAATTTGTGCCAGTCCATTTATTAGATTGGGAGATATTTTACAAAACAGAAACTATAACCTGCCAGCACCAGTTGGATGAAAACACAGACAATAACCAAAGTCACAGAGTGCCCCAGGAAGGAATCCTTAAACCCAGAAATGAGTTGGCATTTTAGCATTCCGGGTCCCCTCGCCTTGAAGTCAGTAGGTTATTTAAATGAATTTTTGGGTTGAAATAACGGCTGAGGTTGACACAACCTGAAGGAACCAGGTGATGCTAATTTCTGTGTCGGCCTACAGAAAAAGGTCATTACTGGATCACTCTATTTGCACTCATCCCTTGGAGACCATTAATGCCTAAAACAAATTCCATGGCATTCTTTCAATATATGTTGAGATATCCCAGTCGAGACTTAAGTGGTGACTGACCAATGACCAGCTTTACCAGAGCCGTGCCACTATAGCAGTATTTGCATTTAATTTAGTAACTTACAATGTTACATGTGGAAACTGAAATCTGATCTGTCCTGTTCCATCAGCTCTTTGACATGGAAACTGTGTCTGGCTTTCAGCCTATAGAGGCCCTGTCTTCATGGCCATACCTGCAGCCAACATCTGCACCTCTTTAATTACTTAATTGTAAGTGACACCTTCCTGTTGTGCAGGCGAGGTTAATATTTTAACACCACTTATAAAATGAGTTTCTCTGCAGTGTCTGGCAGGAACTTCAGGCCCAGATCAAGTAGGAAATGTAATGGAATCTGGCTGATGATGAAATATATGCAGTTTTACAGCTTGTCAGTAAATCTCACTACTTTTCCTTCTGATTTTAATACATTCTTTCATTCATGAGCACATTAATTCATGGCTAAAAACCACAGTATGCCTCAGGTGAACAGCTCGTCGGATCATCTTACAGACACCCCCTTGCTGACACAGCAATCACAGGGTAGTTGCTGGGGGTGCAATAGTGATGGGAACAACATGAGCACATGAGGGCCTTCAGAAAGTCTGAATTCAAAGTTTCTTTTTATCTGCAATTTTTTGTATGTTTTCCTACGAAAAGCAATGCACCCAAATTCATACATATTCCACATATTTTGAAAGGCTGCGATCATGTGACCAATGTGCTGATGACAGTAAACTAAGAAGCAGTCCTAAAAAAAAAAAAAACTCCCTGGAGTTGCATGCTTGGATCCATGTGAACTTTGAGTGAACTTTGAGTCATTTTAAGGTACGTCCTCACCATGTTTCTTTTCCTAAACCTAACCTTTGTTGATAAGTTTTACTACTGCGCTCTGTGTATTGTGTTGCCAAAAATCACTAATGCAAAAAAAAAAGAAACAAAAAAAAAAAAAACAGCTTGATAATTTAGACTGAGTTTTAAACATTACACCCTGTATTAAGAGCAGTCAGTCAGTTTGATGGCAGGTTTTAACCCTTTTTGTTTTGTTTGTACATTGGGCTACCTTCTTGTCTGCATCTGGATGTCTTTGGTAATGACATAATACTTTCTCAATTTAGGAGCCGAAGTCAGATGGCTTTCCGCCTTTTTCTTAGCTCAGGGTACAAGGAAGATGGAATACCCTGTGATAGAAATAATGTTAAAAAACTTGAGAGTGGAAGCTATGTTTGTAAACATATTACAGTATGCAGATAAAAGATGGCTGTAATGTGCTGAGCAGGGGCGGAAATCCCGGGGGGGACAGGGGGGGACATGACTCCCCCTTCAGTAAAGCTGTACCCCCCTAGAATCATTTGAGACACAATTAATAATTTTTGAACAATGCAGTAGTATTTATTGAAAGCACAATGTAAGCGGTGCTCATTATAATCGCGCAATAATGTGCTATTTAAATCTTTAGTTTAGATTTAGTCCCCCCCTCCCATTCCTAGTAGTGGTATATCCCACACTCTTTCCAACGGGCGGGGCTGCAGTAGCAGCGTGTGGCTGGAACCGCTGCCCACATCGCACATCGCAGGGTAAGATGTTCACTTACACAGACACAGTTTAACTTAGGCTACACATCCCATTTACTGTTACAACAAGCCCCAGGCCCAGGCTGATAATATAAACTGTCTGCAACATTTCTCCCGCATTATTCAAAAGCCTACTCAATTACGAGTGCTGCTAAGCTAAAAGCTAATGATTAAGCTCAGAGTTTAGTGGAGGAGGACAGGGCAAGAGCAGTCAGTGGCGGAGCAATGGGTACCTGTCTGTAGGCTCTCCACCTGTCAGTGAGACAAACATGAAAGACATGCAGACGAGGAGTGGCCATTACGCACGACTATTACGCATGGTTGTGGCGGAGTGGCTCGTATGGGTACCTGTCTGTAGGCTCTCCTCCTGTCAGTGAGACAAACATCAAAGGCGTGCAGACGAGGAGCGGTCATTACACACGACTATTACACACGGTTGTGAGGTGCGCAGCGGCAGATCTCACAGCACACTGTTTATAAACCAGTTTACCAGTTTAATTGCAGGAAATGTTTAGTTTTAGTTTTAGTTTAGTTAGTATAGACATTCACTCTGCCTGTTGGAGAGATAGAGAGAAGATTAAAGCGTCAAATTGCGGTAAAAGCTGCTGTATAAAAGACAGGCTACAACTTTTTTTCCTTGTCCCCCCCTGGAATTATTCTCTAAAATTTTAGTGTTTATTGTCCCCCCCAACTATGAAATGGGATTTTCGCCCCTGGTGCTGCGATTTCAATGTGTGCACCTTCTTAAATATGTTATTGTTTCAAAGTGGATACCCAAGATTAGTGTCACCAATTCAGCATCTGACCAAATATCTCCCCCTCTGCTTCTGACATAATGTTGAGGAATGGCCAAGAAAAGTGGTTTATGCAGAACATTATGATGCCACAGTAAGGTTGACCTTTGACATTTTGGATATTAAATCATCACTTCATCATTGTAGATTATTAGATGTGTGTGTGAAGTTATGTATTTAATCCTGGTATGAGCCTATTGTGCCTGCATATGTATGAGGCCTGGACATTTTGCACCAGAAGTCGTGGCCTTTTTAGTTGCCAAAGGTCAGTGCCAATGGAGGAGGTAGTGTGTCCTTTTTGTAGGGAGGTGGAGAGTAACTGAGGTAAGGTTGGGATGGTGAATAGACATGTCCCATGTCACATTTCCATGCAGGAGACCAGATTTTGTGTACTATAACGTGTGCATTTAAAGGGATAGTTCGACATTTTGGCAAATTCGCCTATTGCCGTAATCCCTATAGTCATATGGGTAGGTACATTACCTTTAATTGTCAGTGTCTGCAGTTCTGAGATCGGTGGAGCAGAGCTGCCCGCTGAAATGGAGGTGAATGGTACAGCCCCTTCTCTCCCTCAAAACTAATCAAATACACCATCAAATGACTCCAAAACACTCTAGTGGACAACACAACAATGCTTGTGCATTCCCCACGCTATGAAATAATAATGTATAATTAAGTAACATTACGACATATGAAGCAAATACTCTGAACTACTTTCTTGAGTAAACCACTGGGTGGAGTGACACAGTGTGCAGCTGAGACAATGCCGTTGTTATTGCTTGTAGCCATTTGCGGTATCATCAGCTGGACACACCAGAAGGTTTGAGGAAAGTTTAGAAGTGTTTTTGTAAATCATGGTTTACACATGCATTGTAAAAGGTTGCAGTAACAAGCGAAAGACATGGAGCAAAGTGAAGTTTCACGTACTTTCAACCAGTAATACGGACAGGATGAAACAATGGCTATTTGTGCTGGACATCGATCCCAACACGCCTGTGGAAATGGTCCGGAAAATGTTTGTGTGCTCCTGCCATTTTTTACCAGAGGACTACGTTGAAAGGATGGAGCGCAGAAGCTCAGGAATGGTTCAAACACTTTTCTTAGATACTGCCACACCATCTGTCGGCATCACAAAACAAGCAGACGTGGTAAGTGATCGTTGTGTATTTTGCTCAGCAATCTCTCTGCTGTAACGTTACCTCCATGTTGAGTAACATTAGCCTACAACCCAAGCATGGTAAATAAGGCTAAAATGCAAATGTTGTTGTGGTTATGTTATGGGTAAGTGCTTGCCCAGAGCATATAGTGAAGTGACTGGCATTACTTCTCATTGTTGGGAATAAACAGACTGCTAGGGAACATTTTATGTTGTTGTTCCTTCAGGACTTGTGGTGATTTATGAGTGTGGAGTTAGCATGTTCTCCCCGTGTTTCGGTGATTATTTTGAGGCGTACTCTATATTTATATTGTACAGGTGTACCTAATAAAGTGGCCAGTAAGCCCCACATTTACACCACTGGTTCTGGGTCTCCCCTCAGCCCCTGGTTGCTCGGCAGCCTCAACCTCTCTTCTTGCTCTCTCTTCTTCCAAAACCTGTAACTCTTTCTCTGTATATTCTGGCTTCTTCCCAACAAACTTGTTGTTTTGATGATGGGAGTAACTGCACTAAACATACGCTGTTTGAAATCACTCCGCCCAGCAAGTACTGTATATCTGGAATGTAGTTCTGGCTGTGCATTTGGCTTCAAAACAACTCTGTCTTGTAATATTACATTATTATTTCATAGCGTGGTGAATGTGTAAACTACAAGTTGTCCACAAGAGCATTTTGGAGTCATTTGATGTTGTATTTGATTAGTTTTGAGGGAGAAAAGGGGCTGTACCGTTCACCTCCATTCTGTGCGCTAAGCAGCGGGCAGCTCTGCTCCACCGATTTCAGAACAGCAGGCACTGACAATTAAAGGTAATGTACCTACCCATATGACTATAGGGATTACGGCAATAGGTGAATTTGCCAAAATGTCGAACTATCCCTTTAACATTTTTTATTGGTAGAACCATGGTAGAAACCCTTTTAAGACACGGTCGCATGACATACAACAACCTGTACCTGTACAACCTGTTTGTTGAAGCATGGTAAGGATGGTAAGGTTATGGTTATATTTGGTTATAATATATAGCTGATACACATCTTTATGGTATATTATTATTCAGTACACATACATTGTAGAGAAAAATTTTTTTTTTTTTATTGAGAGGAAACTCCCCCCAAACATATGAAAACATACTCACCTTCCAGTTCTTCAGGTGATGCTGGGAAGTCGATACCTCCTGCCTCCACCAGGTTTTTCCATCTGACAAAAGAAAATAATAACGATAATAAAGAAAAGCTTTGTGTGTACAT